TCCTTCTTTTGCCCGGCGAAGTGCAACAATTCGACGTGGCATGGACTCAACAAGTCGTTGGAAGTCCCCTGCAGGAATATTGAGCCATGCTGCCTCTATAGACGTTCATAATTGTAAAAGTGTTGGCGGTGCAGGGTTTTGGGCACGAACTGACCTCTCGATGATGTCCCATAAATGTTCGATGGGATTCATGTCGGGCGATCTAGGTGGCCAGATCATTCGCAGCAATTGTCCAGAATGTTCTTCTAACCAATCGCGAACAATTGTGGCCCGGTAACATGGCGCATTGTCATCCATAAAAATCCCATCGTTGTTTGAGTACCTGAAGTCCATGAATGGCTGTAAGTGATCTCCAAGTAGTTGAAGGTATCCATTTCCAGTCAATGATCGGTTCAGTTGCACCAGAGGACCGAGTCCATGCCATGTAAAAACAGCCCAGACCATTACGGAACCATCACCAGCTTGAACAGTGCCTTGTTGACAACTTGGGTCCATGGCTTCGTGGGGTCTGCGCCACACTCGAACCCTACCATCAGCTCTTACCAACTGAAATCGTGACTCATCTGACCAAGCCACGGTTTTCCATTCGTTTAGGGACCAACCGATATGCTCACGAGCCCATGAGAGTCGCTGCAGGCGATGTCGTGCTCTCAGTAAAGGCACTCGAGTCGGTCTTCTGCTGGCATAGCTCAAGGAAGACAAATTTCGCCGCATTGTCCTATCGGACACATCCCTCGTACGTCCCACATTGATTTCTGCGGTTAGTTGACGCAGTGTTGGTTGTCTGTGAAACATTGACAACTCTACGCAGACGTCGCTGGTCTCGGTCGTTAAGTGCAGGTGGTCGGCCACTGCGCTGTCCATGGTGGGATGTCCATGGCCGCTTCTGCAGGCAGCACAGCTTCTTCTTGAAACTCGGCCATGGTTATGGGAACATTAAATGTCCTGACTCGGAACAGGGAGCTTACTAAATCTATGTTCAATAAATTTGGGAAGTAGACAATACACACAGGAAGGGTATACGAAACCCTTTATTTTCTCTCTTTACAATGATTTCCGGACTTCGGAATACAGAGACCAACCACTTGTGGTCTGAACGTAAGAATATAAAAATATTAACTAAACTTAACTTTGGATTAATCAAACAAGTGCCTACTCCAAGATTGGCCGTATATTAGCAAAAAGCCGTATGTAGTACAGAGAACTGCTAACACTACGATACGTTTAAAATTATCAAGAGGATTAAACCTCTGGCCTTGAAGGCAACCAGCAACCGAGTAAAACTACTATGGCAAGCGGCCTGCTTCTAATAGCTCCTTCCTCTCTCTTGGTTGGCAAAAAGCCACAACTTGAGTACTTGGCGTTAGCAAGACAAATTTGCATAAATAATTTAAAGCTTTTAATTTTGGCCGGAAGTAGAAAATAAGAAGTGATAGTAAAGATTTAAAATAAAATAAACGTTAGTAAAACTTAGGATCATTACAAGGTTACATTCAATACCCTCAGTAAATGAAGAGAAACTTAAGAATTATGAAGAAGGCTTGAAAAAAAAAAAAAAAACTGCATTTTGAGTTCGAACGCAGATTTCAAGATTTCAGTGCCATTCAAATAGAAATGGATATTTTCACCATGCTTTTCGACGTAAATTGTGAAGCAATGAGGTCAGATTTGCAGCTTGAATTAATTGAATTGCAGTCTAACAATCATCTCAAGAAGTTTTTTCTAAATATGCCGAAGTTAGAGTTTTATAAATCATAATCGAAAGTAATTTTCCCAAAATTAATATCTCATGCCCAGAAAATCATTGCTATGTTTGCTTCATCTTATACACTGAAGTGACAAAAGTCATGGGATACCTCCTAATAGGTTGTCGGTCCTCCTTTTGCCCGGCGAAGTGCAGCAACTCGACGTGGCATGGACTCAACAAGTCGTTGGAAGTCCCCTGCAGGAATATTGAGCCATGCTGCCTCTATAGACGTCCATAATTGTGAAAGTGTTGACGGTGCAGGGTTTGGGGCACGAATTGACCTCTCGATGATGTTCCATAAATGTTCGATGGGATTCATGTCGGGCGATCTAGGTGGCCAGATCATTCGCTGGAATTGTCCAGAATGTTCTTCTAACCAATCGCGAACAATTGTGGCCCGGTGACATGGCGCATTGTCATCCTTAAAAATCCCATCGTTGTTTGAATACGTGAAGTCCATGAATGGCTGTAAGTTGATCCCAAGTAACTGAAGGTATCCATTTCCAGTCAATGATCGGTTCAGTTGCACCAGAGGACCGAGTCCATGCCATGTAAAAACAGCCCAGACCATTATGGGAACCACCACCAGCTTGAACAGTGCCTTGTTGAGAACTTGGGTCCATGGCTTCGTGGGATCTGCGCCACACTCGAAACCCTACCATCAGCTCTTACCAACTGAAATCGTGACTCATCTGACCAAGCCACGGTTTTCCATTCGTTTAGGGACCAACCGATATGCTCACGAGCCCATGAGAGTCGCTGCAGGCGATGTCGTGCTGTCAGTAAAGGCACTCGAGTCGGTCTTCTGCTGGCATAGCCCAAGGAAGACAAATTTCACCGCACTGTTCTATCGGACACGTCCCTCGTACGTCCCACATTGATTTCTGCGATTATTTGACGCAGTGTTGCTTGTCTGTAAACATTGACAACTCTACGCAGACGTCGCTGGTCTCGGTCGTTAAGTGCAGGTGGTCGGCCACTGCGCTGTCCATGGTGGGATGTTATGCCTGAAATTAGATACTCTCGGCACATTCTTGACACTGTGGATCTCGAAATGTTGAATTCCCTAACGATATCCGAAATGGAATGACCCATGCGTCTACCTCCAACTACCATTACGCGTTCAAAATCTGTTAATTCTCTTCGTGCGGCCATAATCACGCCAAAGCCTCTTCACATGAATAACTTGAACACAAATGAAAGCCTTGCCAAAGCACTTCGCATTTATACATTTTCTACCGGATACTACTGCCATCTACTGTATATTTGCATACTGGCGGTGTATGGTGTATTTAATGATGGCAAAGCACACTAGGGCTATCTGCCTAAGAGGAGGGATGCCTTTCGTGGAGGACTTTCCAAGGGAAACTGGCTCGTATACACGTTACACATGGAGAAAACCACGAAAACACCCATGCAGCCAGCCCGTTTGCGGGATTCGAACCTCGGACCGAACTACCAGTGTTCAGCGACTTTACCGCTCGGCGGCTGGTGGGCGTATATTTGCATACTACTGTATATTTGCATATTGCTATCCTATTTGATATTTGATACTACTATTGCTATTTGATAATACTGTATATTTGCATATTGCTATCCCATGACTTTTGTCACTTCAGTGTATATACGTGCATATTAAAATATGTCAAAGGAATTAGGCAATATATCAAAAGAAAACAAATCCAGCGATGAAATACGAGGAAAGTTTTTGCATTAAAATCAAAAAAACAATTTGTTCTCCTAGTAGTTTTGGGAAGTTGTGTTCAGTTGTGCTTTCTTAGTGAAAACCCTGGCCGCCCAGAGGGTTAATTTGCATTTTCTAGCAGAGTAGGACAAAAGTCTCAAATTCAAATTGCATGCGGGTCGAATGCACGACCTCAAAACAGCTGAAGGGCTGAAAGAAATTTTTTTAAGAATAAAGCATTTTATTAGCAAAATTAAAAAACAAAATTAGATTTCTCTTACTATATATTTATCAAAATAAACGTAAACAATAATAATATCGCAAAGGAAAAAAATTCAAATTTATATTTGTTCTCTGTTTGAAATATAAATTTTAGTTCCTGTAAGACTTTTTTGTTGGTTATACTTTTCAATTAAAATATATTGATGGCTAACTATCAAATTTGTTGATTAATATTTCTTTAAAATAATTCTAGCATGTACAATTTATCATTAAATAACTTACTTTAATTTGAACTAGAAATAAACAAATTATGAAATATTTCTAATTTTTCAGAAAAATTTCTCAACTAAGATGAAACTTCTGAATAAATATCTTAATAATAACAGTATGATCTCTTTCTTTTGTTTATTAAACCTTTCTTCAACGTATAAATGAAAATAAATATGTTGGCATATAAGTGATTATAAACTTCTTTATTTCTTACTGTAGCTTGTTTCTTAACGGTGTTTAACCTTCATCTCGGATTATAAATGCTCATTGTCAATCGGATTCTTTTATAATTAATTTTCAATTGTAGAAAAAAGCTGCTCTCATATAGATGTATTTCCAAATAGAATGATTATTCTTGAAGCAAAAATTCTTAACTGAGTCTATTTTTTTGATAAATTTGAATAAAAATTAATGAAATATGTGTCTTCGATTTCTTGAGTAAGATTTATGTCACGTTTTAAATTAATTAGCTCCACTGATAGATTTTCTGCTGAGTTATTTATGTTCGTTTTTAATGGAATTAAAAATAATGTAAACTTGGACTTCAAATAACTAAAATCTTGAAATCTTTAAAGTACCGTATTTGCGACAGATATTTATGAAATGTTCCACGGGCTGCTTAAAATAGCTTCGAGATTCACATGTAACTGGCAAGTCGGTCAGTTTAGAGCACTGGAGTGGACGAGTAAAAGTGCGCAAAAAATTCAAAATAAAGCATTATGTGTTATAATCAGTTCCTGATTAAAAGGGGCTGATCAACAAATGCCATTTTTTACCCAAAATGAAATACTCTGATGCACATCAGGAAGCATGTGACATAACGGACCAAAAACTGCTTATCAGCATCGAAGAATTAAGCCGTAATTCAAGCGAAGAATAACAATAAGCTTCTTATACAACCAGTACATAATTTTTTAATCTTACGATGTATTGAATTTCATGTACAAATGTATGAAAAAAAGTTTAAAATGAATAAATTCTGTGTTGATTTCCATGAACATATTGTATGGAGAAACAAATGTACGTTTGACTAAATTATTTGATAAATTTTTCATAACAGTTTTACCTCTATTCTAGGTCGTGGATTGTCAGGCAGATTCGATATTAGGCAACGGATAGCACACCTCTATCGTAAGCAACTATACACGGATGTGATGTTTGTCATTCAATGTGCCATTGAACCTAAGCCTATCTTTTATGCGCATAAAGCTATACTTGCGGCAGGAAGCAAACACTTCGCAGAGATGCTCTTTGGAAGTGAAGACAAGCTTCCCAAAACCACGGAGCCAGTAAAAAAATTACAAATAAATAACATATCTCCTGAAGCTTTTAGGAATGTTATTGAGTAAGAATATATTTATAACATATTTTGCCAGATCTGTGTTATAACTAGTTAATTTTAGTTAGTGTGTTATAGTTACTGATAATAAATGACTCATAAATAGATAAAGCATATTTAACATATTCAGATTTGTCAGAATTATCTGATGTTTGAAATTGTAGGGATTGAATATGAATAAAAACTTCGAATGAGCACTGACATATTCTTTCTATTTACAGTGCATTGCCACTTTAAAAGTTTTCCCCCTTGTAATATCAAAATATAATAAAATAGCCCATAATGTACCTTTAGTTTGTCATTATTGTCCAATTCTTAATTTAAAAATTACAGAGAAGCATTAATTAATTAATTAATTAATAATTTTGACTCAACATAAAACAAAAAGGATTTTCTTACTTTAGATTTTAGAGAATTTTTAACTATACTTTCATTGAATCAAACTTTCATTCGTTATTAAGGTAGTCAAGAAATTTACAAATTTGCTGCCTGCTTTAATAATTCAGTGAAATATTTAATTGATGTGCTCATCGATATGTAAAGGCCTGAAAATATTGATTAAAGTTTGAGAATAGCTCTTGATACTGAATGGAGTTGCATTATTCATCTCGGTGATCGCTTCTGAAGGAGAGAAACCTACGTTAGTTCCCATAGTTACATAGTTAATTATTTTCGCAAATATAACATTAATATTTGCTCTTTGCAAATAAAAAATAAATTCCAGTAAAATGATTTATTTGAAATACCAGTGAGCAACTTTAATTGAAATTAATAAATGTAATTGTGGCAATGTTATTTGGAATATTAAATACAGTGCTGTATACAAAGTGGAGCATCGGAAATGCTTAACCCTGTATACAAGGCGGTTCAAATCTGACTGGGAGCGATGTTTTTAACCAAACCCTTTTCTGCGAATAAAAGAATTGAATATATCACCCTTCAATGTACTTTCCTTCAAAATCGATGTACTTTTGCCAGCGTTCTGCCAGCATTTTCATGCCCATTTCATATCATAAGTTACATACTTTCCAAGTGGGATTTAAGCCTGGGACAATTCTCTGCATAAAAACTAAATCAATTAAATTATTATTATTATTATGGCTAGAAGTATATAACACAAAATATCAGCATAAATACTTAATTAGTTAAATTATTGTAAGCCAGAATTATATAATTATACAACACACATAGAAAAAGAGCACTTACTGGAATACACTCACAAATATAAACATAATGGGTGCACACGGCAGGGAAACACACAAATTGCAAGCATTGAAATAATGTGTTGCGTAAATACTGAATTAAAGTTTTGTTAGCTAGAGATACATTACACAAAATACCAGCACTTATTTGGACGCAATTAAGAAGTTAAGCATTATGAATGTTTCAAACTGGAAACCACTGATTACTGGCACTGAACGATCCTGCAAAAAATTGATTATAATATGTAAGCTAGAAAATATTACCAAGTACTAGCACTTACTGATTACAAAACTCAAATATAAGTATAGTTAGTGTATAAAACAGCAAACATATCGTACATGATACGAGCATGAAACGAATCCGTGCAAAAGTGCTATATTAGAATGGTGGTATTCCGGATTAGGAATGAATATAATAGCTAATTTACAGCCCTAATGAGTTAGACAAAATCATAGTTAAAATTATATTATGTAGAAACAACTCTATTATTACCTGATGCTATTAGGGCTGCTATTGTAAAAAATATCGAAATCTAATTATTGCTCATAGGATTACCGGAATTTGTGAACCGAATAATTAAAACAATCCTACTTGGGGCAGGGCTCTTTCGCTTCTGTTCTCTATAAAATATAATTAATACAATAACACTATTTAGAACTAGTAGCGCTGAGTGCATATACACACTGTATAACACTGGTTGGCACAACCATACTATGTGATATTAGATCACGCTATCGAAATTTCTCGTTTAGCTGCGAAAACCGAAATCCAAGAATTAGCGAGAAAAATGTAGAAAACGTACAATTGGAGGAATTTTCCAATTTTTAAGTGTATTCTAATCGCACTCCTACGTCACATGCTATGTGAAATTGCTCTTTCAGGGGAAAATCTTGGTGTTATTCTTGTATTTTTTGTTATTAGGTAATCAAATGAAGGCACAACACAATTAGAAACCTTCACTATAACACGCACTAATGGGCACTGCACTGTAAGAACTGATGTCAGTATACTTACTATGATACGCACTAATGAGCACTACGCTGTAAGAAATGGCTCAGTAGCTGGTAGAACCACACTAGATGGCGATACACGAAGCAAAACGCCTAGGTACGGACTTAGACTACTGATGGTATCCTGAAGAATGGCTCTGAATTCCCTATCAACCATTTGCCACAGTTCGCCTTTTGAACGCGGCAATGGACGTCTGCAAATGACGTCCTGTCACTTCCCAAATGTGTTCGACTGGTAAGAGATCCGCAGAAAACGGTAGCCAGAGAAGCATCTGCACACCTTGCAGAGCACGTTGGCTGATGCGAGCAGTGTATGGGCGGGAGTTATCCTGCTGATAAAGGGTATTTCACACTCCCTGAAGGTACGGGAGTGTCACCGACCGCAGCACATCATCCACGCTCGTTGGGCCGTCATAGTGCCCTGAATACGAACTAGAACTATGACCTGGAATTGTACGCAATTGCGCCTAAATCTATGATGCCGCTTTGTTGTGCGTCCCAAAAATCCTGCCGGATTGGGCTTGTCTCCACATAGAGGCCTGTACACGGCGACTATCATGGGAAAAACAGAAGTGGGACTCATCTGAGAACACGACCCTGTGGTCCACTCCTCGGCACCACCATGAAGCGTTGCGTCAATATGTGAGGTCGTGCAGTTATACGGACTTCCGAATACAGGCCACTAGCCACCAATCGATGGCAAATGGTTCTGGTCGATATGGGAATATCTAGGCTGTCTTGAACACTGCTGCAGAATGGAGGTAGCCGTGGCTTGATGGTACGCTACTGCTCGTCGGCGGACTCGTCGATCCACAGCTGCTGACTTCACTCTCTCTGGCTGTACGGCACCCCTCGAACCTGTCACATTTCCCTGTTCCAGTCATCGTCGCTACAGCCGGGGCACTATGGACGCGTCCAGGTGTGTGTCAGCTGAGATTTGTCGTTTGGAAAAACATGCCCTTCTCAGTCCAAACACCATGCCCTTCATAAAATCGTCTGTCTGTTGAAAATTTCTCCGTGGACGACAGCCTGGCATTCTATGCTATTACACGCTCCTCTGAGACAGAACAAATTTTCTACGATGATTGTCCAAGCAGAAATAACGGCACGAAAATTGAACATTCTGCAGGTTCCCTCCCTTTGTATCTTCTTCAACGTGCACTCGAGAGCTGCGCATAACTTGGTGACGTGCGTGTGCCTTGAAATTGACATAATTTTAGGCCACTTTTTTTGGGGTTCCATTTTCAATGTCGGTAGTGTACTTTCGCTTTTTCCCAGAACATTTTCGAATGTTCTCTATGTGTAATTTTGTTTTCTGTTATGTTCTATATTTTACGTTCTTACCAGCAGCCAAAAAAGAATGTATGGTAAAAAATTTCGAAGTGATTATAACGGTTTTCCATATATCAAGCTAATTCTTCCTGTTAATTTTCCTCTTTTTCTTAACCACTTGCGCTACGACTAAACTTCACGGTGCGGTGCCGCGCGTTACAATATAACGAGCGGTAAAGTGTCTCATTAGCCTCTGCATCTGCGAGTGCAATCCAGAGCGTACGAGAAATAAAACGATCTCGTTGTTAGGCGACCTGAGCACCACGTAATTTTCATTTTTGCGATAAATGCCTATCGACGTGGTGTTCACTTCGCTCGCGGATCGAGACAAAAGCATCTCGACGTACGTGGCACGTCTTTTTAGCGCAAGTGGTTAATAAAGTTTTAAAAAAAATAAAATTTGGTACCATTATTTGCTTTTACTGTACATTTTCCCTAGCCATTTTAAACATTTGCCTTTTATATTTTTAGGTTTCTGTACACAGACGACATGTATTTCGATAATGAACCTTTAGTTATCGAAACTCTTTTAGCAGCTAAAAAATTCGAAATTCAACCATTAATTGACCGGTGTGAATCTCATTTAGAAGAAATAGAACTGTCTAAGTCCACTGTCTGTTCCCTTCTTCAAATAGCCACTGAGCGCAAAATTGATACACTAAAAAACCGCTGCCTGAGCTTCATTCAAGAAAATACTGGTGATGTTATCAAGTAAATCATTAACTTTTTAATCTGTTTGATGAATGTATTGATATACTTAGTTATAAATTTCTCACGAATTTAAATGCAATATAAAGAGGTTTATGTCTGTTGCTGCGCATTCTAAACGCAATTGTTATTAATAATCGTAAAATTAAAGAGTTGAAAAGTTTACTATGAACAAAGTTCAGATAGAAATCATCTCTCTGTGGGCGGCTATGGGATCTTCTGTTAATTTCTAGTACTATTATTTGAACACTTACACTGTTTTCTTCATGTTATTTTAAACATTCAAAATGTATGTCTTTATTATCTTACTATTATTAATGCTGTTCTTTTCATATATATATATATGTATGTATTTATGTATGTGTATGTATAAGCGGTTCTCAATCTAAGGGTTTTCATAGTTTCAGGGGGGGATGTGGTCAGCCTTTTATTTAGCTACTCAGTGCTTAGTTAATGAATATTGCTTATTTCTCAAAAACCTTCATTGGTCTTTTCCTTTTAGAACTTTAATTTTTAATTGCTAATTTCTAAAGGTACCACTTTATTGGTATTTATTTTTGGACATTCTTCACTCTTTACTTTTGGTTTTGACTTTTACCCTTTCCTGCGTGAATGACGAAACACGAATTGAATGATTGGAGAGTAGGTTTGGAGGGAAACTTCCCTTGATACGTCTGTATCCTGCCTGCTAAACAGTCATTCACTTATGCATTAAAAAAAATTTTTTTAGATGAATTTTAATATTAATTTTAATTTGCTAAATGGTGAATTATTTTCATGGTTTAGCTTTTGCACTTGATTCACTTATGCTATCTGATTTAAATGATGCTGTAGATTAGTTCGAAAATTAAATCTGTTATATGTTTGCAAAATATTTTAATTATTTAACTTTAATTGCTTTTACGTATATACAGTTTGTTAAAATTTAAATTTGTTATATATCTATATAATATATGCAAACTATCGTCAAATGTTAGTGTATTATTAGTATTGCATCATATTATATTTTTACATGAATTTTGTTAAGTATGTGTATCATCAGTAAGAAAAACTTATTTAATAATTGTAAAATTGAGTATATATTTCACTGAATATAAAAGTTTCATTTCATTGAATATCAGTTTAATTAATATAAAAATTATATTTTAGGGAATATGAAATAATGAAAAATATTCTTAAAATATTAACTTGAAATATGAAAATATATCAAAGTTCGTAATTAATATATACTATAATGGAAATATGTTCATCAACAGAAATTTGAGAGATTTTTAGTGAATATTTACTTTATGAAAAACATAAGAACCTTATGAAAGTACTTGAACAATTACCTGGTTGAACTATTTTCATCAAGAGATTTCTAAAACAATTTTCATTGAACATTCAAAAAAGCATTGGACAATTTTTTTCAAAAA